AAAATCCTCGCCCTGGCTTGGGAGTAGTGTTCAGCAGGTAGAGAGTGGCTCTCTCCTGGCCCCCCACTGATCCTCCCCCTCCTGCTCCCCTGTGGTGGCACCCACCACCGTGGTTTCCAGCTTTGCAGAAGCTGTGGGAAGGAGGGCTGAGAAAGGAGGGAGGCTGGTGGCAGGCTGGGGTACACAGGGGACCCCTGGCCTGAGCTGTGGTCTCTGTGCTGGTGGGGGGTTGGGAGGAGCTAAACTAAGAAAAGAGATGCATTCCTCTTTCCCATTCACTCATTCATCTCTGCAGAGGCCTACTAAGATGTATGAAAGCCGGTCCACACACCTGAAGGAGCTCTGCTGGGTCAGGCGAGCTGTTCCACCTTGGCCTTGGAAGCCTGCCCCAAGACATGAGTAAAGGCAGGAGGAAGTAGGCTCCAGAGAGGAAGAGCTGGGACAGAGGGAGCCATGTCTCCATGGGTCTTTACACTAGACACGAGTGTCAGCTTTAGTTCCACAGGGGGTCCTCTCTGAATTCTGTTCCCAGCCCACCTCCACACTTCACACTTTTCCTCTGCAGCCAATAGTCCCCTATCCCATCTCCTTGATGTATTTGGGCATCTCATCCTTGGAGGGGGTGTAGCTTAACGGTTGGGGACATGGGCTCTCGAGGTACAAAGACCTGGGTTCAAATGCCAGATATGCCACGTCAGACTCTGTAACCATAGTCAAGCCACTTATGCCCTCTCAGATTGCTTTCTCATCTGTGAAACGGGGACAAGGCAAGTAATGCCTAGTTCCCAGGGTTGGCATAATCATTAAGGAAACACATATGGAAAGCCTGGCACAGAGTAAGAATTCAGCCAAGGCTGATGTCTATCACTACCATCCCACCTTAATCACTGTCCAGTGGAGAAAAGGAGAGAGAAAGAGAAGAGAAGGAAGGCCCAGCGGGAGACTGACAAAGCACCAGGAGAAGCTAAGGACCCCACGGCTCCTCTGACTGCACCCACTCACCACTAGGGCTAGGGGAGGCTCTGGGGTTTGAGGGGAGAGATCCCCCTGGATTAAAGCCCCTCCTTTGCTCCCACCACTTCCTCTCTGTGGCATAGGGCACCTGGACAAGGCTCACGGCTGGCTTCCTAAGGTGGCCCAGGGCCAGGCTCTGGATGCATTCAGAGAGCGCTATCAATGAATCTCACAGCTGTGGGAAGGGCGAGATTAGGGGGGTTGGAGGGAGGGGCAGACAGACCACTTTGTTGCTACCGGATTTCCCCACAGAGGAGACATGCATAGCAAGCTCCTTGGGGATACTTCAGTCTCTGAAGCAATCCAGAAGAGATTCCTTTTCTCTCCCCAGCACCCTTTCAGAATTGAAGCTTTAGAGGTCTCCCAGGTTGAAGAGAAGACACAAGAATGAACTGGGGGAGGAGATGACCAACCCCACCCTCACCCCCCAGGAGGAGCCGCCTGACCCAAAAAGCCTCAAGAGGGCCCAGATTCTTGCTACTCAAAAGCATAGGCTGACGACCAGCCAGAGTGGGCACCAACCAGAGCCTGTCCAAATGCACAATCTGGGCCCCCAGACCTGAGAAGGGACCTTCTCACAACACGTTCACAAGATCCCTTGGTGATCTTGTGTGAAACGCAAAGGGCTAGAATCACAAAGTCCCTAGATGATCTCAGGAGCCTTCCTGAGCAAGGAGGCACTTCTGTCTCCTGGGAGTGTGAGAGTTTCCTTCGCTGGGCCCCCGGGAGAGAGCAACAATGAGATACAAAGATCTTCCCGAAGCAGCGGGGGCCACAGGGGCTGGCCTAGACAGCCCTGACCTTTGCTTGGTTCGAGTTCCTGGCACCCACAGGCCCTTAGATGGTAAGTTCCTGGCAGGCCAGGCTCCAACACAACAGTTTGAGTAATCCTGTGATTACTCAGCTCCCCCTCCCCAACCTGGGTTCCCATCACCTGCTGCTTCAGGCAGGGGCTCAGGGGTAGGCTGTGAAGGTGAGGGATCCGAGGTGTTTTTCAGCCCCTGCTCAGCCCATTGCCACCTCTGCCAGCCCTTCCCATCCTCTCCCCTCCCCGCCTCCAGAAGTCACACTCATGCACACCAGTACTTTCTCTTTGAGGTTTCGGGCAGATGGCATTGAATGGGGTACAGGTGTCAGGGGAAGGAGGGAGCAGTGGGAGCAGAGGGCCTGATGGTACACACAGGGCCAGGCGCAGGACACTGGGACTGGGACCTCACTGTGGGTTTTTCTGTGTCGCTGCCCCTGTTTCTCCATCTCAAGGTCTAAATCTCTGTTGCCTGCCAGTCCCAAGCCTCTTGGTCTTTCTAGCTCAGAGGCTACAGGGTCTGGACCCCTCTAGCTCAGAAACTCTGACTCCATGTTCCTACCTCACTGTATACCTCTGTCTTGGGGGCCTCTGGTTGGGGAACCCTGAAGATTGGCTGGCCTGGTGGCTGAGGTCCAGACTCTAGCATCCCCCCAGGCACAGGTATTTGTGAAGGGGTCCATGGCTGGCTACACCATCCCATGAGAAGAGCAAGGTCTGGTTCACAGCGTTGTGAGGTTCCTGGGGCTGGGACCAGCTGTGGGTCAGGTGTGGGGCAGACAGAGATGGGTCTGGGTCACCTGTGTGGTTGGCGCACACACGCACGCGGATGTGGCTCTGGGAGAAGGGAAGAGGCCAGGAGGCCTGTGGTTGACTGCTGGGCTAGAGTCCGAGTTCCCACTGTGGCTTGGCCTAATCTCCCCTCTGCTTGCTTTTTTGGGTGACCCACGTTGGTTTCTCCCCTCTCTGAGCTGAGGGCCACCATGGAGAGAGACCCACACTGCTGGAGGGGAAGGTGTAGAGGCAAGCGCAGATTCTATGGGTCATAAGGCTTCTGCTGGGCCTCAGGTGCCCATTGCATTTCTTCACCTTCAGCTGTGCTCTGTAGTAACAGCATACATAGAATTCGCCTCTTAAAACACAGTGCTTTTCGCAGGTAATGTCATCACACCTATTGTCCTACCTACAATCATCCCACAGACAAGCAATGTTCTTTTTTAATCCTGATTTCACTGACAAGGGAACCTAGGCCTAGAGAATCTAAGTGACTTGACATGCAGGTGCCTCCACATTTTCTGCCCCCTTTCCAGCTACCGGTCCCCTCTTGTTCTCTCTTCCCTTCCATGCATTCCAATCTGCTCTTAATTTACTGGGAAGAATCTGAAAGGCTCTCTTGCCATCTGTCCATGATGATCACAGCCTCCTACGTGGATGTTGGGCAGGCAAGTGCGGGCTGAGGTTGGGGAAAGAAATGACTTCTCGTGAAGGAATTGCAGACACCCATGGGCCTTGTCCTCCAGGAGAAGGCAGCTGCTTACTCTGACTCAGCTCCAAGTTGGCTTGAGGGGACAATGGTTTCAAGATGAGGGAAACAAAATTCCACGGGGTGGTGGGCAAGCCACCGTCCCCCTCCCCACCTCACATCAGGAGGCCCTTTGCAGGACCAGGGTCCAGGCCTGGGCCGGAGGTAAGCTCAACGGAACACAGGCTTGCCCTACAGGCAACCTGTTGCCTCCACTGACCCTCACGGTGGGACACAATTGGGGACCAGTCAGAGATGACCTGGGGCTGGGGGCTTAGATCACTTTTCTGGCCTGCTCGGACTCAGCCTCCCTGCCCAAAGAGGAGGCAGCAAGGCATCCACGGCAGAGAAGAGACCCTTGTCCTCTTGGGATGGATAAAAACCCCTGACATAGCGGGAATCCCAACTCCCCTTCAAAGATGAGCTGGGAGAAGCCCAACTGCTTGTCCCTGAAACTCAGTAGAGAGCTTTGGGCATTGAAAGGGATAGGGCGAAGTAGAGGAGAAGAATCTGGAGCCCTGAAAGGCCACGATGGGCTCAGTGGGCAGCCGGGGGTCCTACTGGCTAATGAACAAACACTAACACACCAACAGGCAACTGTGCCTGCTGGCTAACAAACAAATGTACCTTCCATGTGTGCACACACCCTCATACATGCCCACTGGCATATGGACCCCAAAGCCAGGTATAAGGAACAGCATAATGAAAAGCAGGGGAGATAGAGTGTAGACCCAGCTCTAGGGGAAACTAGCTGCATGAACTCCAGGGCAACCACCTTACCCTGTCTGGTCTATCTCTCTACCTGGAAAGGAAAGGAAAGGAAAGGAAAGGAAAGGAAAGGAAAGGAAAGGACAAAGGTTGCATGAGATGGTCTCTAGTCCCAGCCAAAGTTAACATTCATGATTGACGCACATGTGATTGCACCCATAAACACAGGCACTCTCATGGGCACACACACGCAGAGCTGCCCACTCTCTGCTCCAGGGCCTGGGGCCTCAGCGTCTTGTTTGATTTTTCAGTATCTGACAGACCTGGCTTGTTGAGCCCTCTCCTGGGCTCCATCTCATTCCCCCTTAACCTCTCTGGGTCCTACTCGGTGACCCTGTCCTCTTGGCCCTGGTCACTGCCCAGCCCATCCCTGAGCCTTCACTGCCAGCCGAGCACAGCCAGAGCATGGCCAGCATCTCTATTTGGTCCCCTGGGGCCTCCTGCCTTAACGTACCACATCTCCTCCCCCCACCCCCACGCCTCACCCTCTGCCCATGGGAGCAAAGCCTGGTGGGGGAGGGTGGCCTAGAGGAAGCCCCCTGGGCGGGAAGCAGGTGTTGTTAATCAGCAAGAACTCCTAGGTCCTCAGGAGGGAGGGTGGTGACTGGAGCTTTTCAACTTCAAGGGCGGAGCAGGTGTCCTCTCTGCAGCTGCATTTTCTGCCCCCATGGAGCTGAGACAGCTCCTGGTTGCCCCGTGAAACTGAAAACGGCCTCCCCAGACCCTTTGCAGGGCAGCACTGGCACTGCCCTTCTTCCATTTTGCAAGACAGGGTAGGGCAAGCCGGAGCAGGGTAGGGACACACCATGTACCTGTATCTACAGCCCAGAGGCACAGGGTAGGAGGCGGATCAGGTCCCTGGGCTGACCTCCTGTTCCTTCTCTCTTTCAGCACAAATTGAAGTCATTCCTTGCAAAATCTGTGGGGACAAGTCATCTGGGATCCACTACGGGGTTATCACCTGTGAGGGGTGCAAGGTGAGCATGCACAAGCAGGCACACTCGTGCACAGTTCCTCTTCCACGGTGGACAGAAGGGGTGATGTGGGCTTTGTTCTCTTTCTGTGGCATTTGTTCTGACTCCGGGTCGGTCTCCTGAGGCAGCTGGGGGGCTGCTGGAGCAGTGCCTGAGTCGGAAGGGCCTCTTCGTAATCTGGGGACATGACTGTCTGGCAAGTTGTAATTCTGCTAAGGGAGGAGAGAAAACGGACTGGTCGTGGGGTCTGGGAACGCTGGGGCCAGAACCTGGGCTGGAAGCCCTGGGGACAGAGCTGGGGCTGGCCGGGATGGGCAACTGAGGTCTCTGCCTGCCTTCCCCAGGGTTTCTTCCGCCGGAGCCAGCAGTGCCATGTGGTCTACTCCTGCACCCGCCAGCAGAACTGCCCCATCGACCGCACCAGCCGAAACCGATGCCAGCACTGTCGCCTGCAGAAATGCCTGGCACTGGGCATGTCCCGAGATGGTGAGGCCAAGCAGGCAGCCCCCTGGGGTTTCCCTGGAGTCTCCAAAGAGGCAGGCGGGCCTGCTGTGCTAGGCAGAGGTTGCCCCGTAGAAACGTCCTTCCATTCATGGGGCATGGGCTGGCCACGCATCGTGGGGGTGCACCTCAGCAAAGTTCTTCGTGGTCCCCAACTGTAGGCTCTGCTAGAACAGCCCTCCTTCCCCCAATGTCCTAGGCTCCTCATTTCCTTCTTTCTGGGATGGATTCTCCTTACTTCCTTTGCCTGTGGCCCAGTTACCATCCAGCTTCCACACTCCCTCCTGCCCCATGGCTCCAGAACTAGCTCCATCCCCCCAGACCTCCATCCCCTTGCTAGGACACGGGACAGTGGCTAAAGACTGGAGCCAGAGTCAGCCTGAGAACCACCTGGAAGGCATGAGGGTGAGGGCTGTAGTTCCTGAGGCCTTTCTCCTCAGCCCTTGCCCACCACCTCAGTGCAGCCCCCCATCACCACCACAGAGGGAGCCCAGGGTGGGGTTGGGGGAGGCATGAGGTGAGGAGGAGCCAGAAAGAGGCTGTCAGCACTTTTCAGCGCCCAAAATAACAAAGTGAAAGGAAACACGCAGGGGTGCAAAGGGGCAGGCGGGGCGAGGGGCTGTGCCCCCACACCTGGGAGGGGTGTGGGGGGTAGTGAAAAGGCAGGAAAGAGAGAGCAGAAGAGGATGTTCAGAAACAAGCCGCGGAGCCTGGGTTGGGCTGTGGTGAGTATCTAGGTCACCAGGGAGCCTGCAGGCCTGACCACAGGGAGACCTGTGTTCTCAGCTCTCCTCTTCCTCCGACCCTCCTAGACAGGCGAGGTGACCCCAATACAGCTCGAGGCCCCCAACTCGACCACCCCCAGCCCCGACATCAGGAGGCCAGAGTCCTCAGTCCAGACTTGCTGCTTGAATTCTGCTACCAGCAGAAGCTGGTTTCCAGCTGGGAGAGTTTGCTTGGGAGACCGGGCTGGACACAGCCCGCGGCAAACACCTGCAAGAGGTGGAAGGGCTCTCAAGCAAAAGTGGGGGTCCCCAGGGGAGGTTCTTAGGCCACACCGGAGAAGCTCTGCTTGGAGCCAGCTATTCAGGGAACAGCAAGTGAATTCTGTAATTATCAAAATGCCTGTCGATGCTGTCCTGTGCCCCGAGCTCCTGCCTTGAAAACTCCTGATTCCCGATCTCTTTCAGCTGTCAAGTTCGGCCGCATGTCCAAGAAGCAGAGGGACAGCCTGCACGCCGAGGTGCAGAAACAGCTTCAGCGGCAGCAACAGCAGCAGCGGGGACAGGTGGCCAAGACCCCACCAGCGGGGGGCCAGGGGGCCGACCCCCTCGCCTGCCATATAGGGCTCCCTGATGGGCAGCTGCCCCTGGGCTCCTCACCTGACCTGCCTGAGGCCGCGGCCTGCCCCCCTGGCCTCCTGAGAGCCCCGGGCTCCGGGTCTTCCTACCCCAGCAGCTTGGCCAAGGCCAGGCCTGACGGGGCCTCATACCACCTGGAATACAGCCCTGAGCGGGGCAAGGCTGAGGCTGGCAAGGGCTTCTACAGCACAGGCAGCCAGCTGAGCCCTGACAGATGTGGACTTCGTTTTGAGGATGCCGGGCATCCTGGGCTTGAGGAACCTGGACGGGGCCCAGACAGCTACTGCAGCCTCAGTTTCCACAGCGCCCCAGAGGGGCCTTATGCCTCCCTGACAGAGACTGGTGAGCAATGGAGTGATGGAGAGGGTAGGGATGATGAGGGAGGGGCTTCCAAGAGAGGGGCCCTAGTCAGCACCCTGTGTACACCAAACATGAGCCCCAGGGAGCTGAGGGTCCGAGGGGTGGGAGGTAGAACAGGGGTGGGCCAGGCCAAGGATACGCCAAGGGCATACCCAAGGAGTATGGGTAGGGTCGCAGCTGGCTGAGATGAAGCCTGTGCTTTCCTCTGTTCCCAGAGCACCTGGTGCAGAACGTTTGTAAATCCTACCGAGAGACATGTCAGCTGCGGCTAGAGGACCTGCTACGGCAGCGCCCTAACATCTTCTCCCGGGAGGAGGTAGCCGGCTACCAGACGAAGGTGAGGCCAGGAGACCATGTGGGAGGGGTTGGGGGGAGGGTAAGAGATGGCTACCTGCACATGCAAGTGGGCTGGGGCGAAGCAGACAGACACAAGTGTGTACCTGCTTTTAAGTCTGGGGTGTGTGTGTGCTTACATGTCTATGTGTAGCAGATGGATAGGTTTTCCTTTTCTCCTATTGATGTTTTGCCTGGACTTCATCCTACCTCTGCCAGCACCCAGACCTTGGGTGTGTACAGCCCTCGGTACACTCTCCTTCCCCGTCCCCTCTGTGTGATAGCAGTAGTCAGAACCCTGATTCCCATTTGTTAAACACCCCTTCTCTGCCGGGCACTGTGCTAAATGCACGCTTCCCAGAAATGATCCTCCACCCTCACCACAGCAACCTACAAGGCTGGCATTTATTTCTGTATTTAACAGACTGGGAAACTGAGCTCGGGGAAGTCAACAGACTTACCGTAGGTCATAAAGTAGCAGAGCCACAGGCACACTGAGATCCACCGGGCTCCAAAGTTTATGCTCTTGCCTATCACACCTGTTCTAAAAAACACTCGTTGGGCATTCAGTTTTTCCTGCTCTACAGGTCTTTACGGGGAGAGGGGTCAGTATGTGCTTCTCACCTCAACAAAACACAAACCCTTTGAGGGCAAAGCTGCATCTCAGATTTTTTTTTCATTTCCCCACGACAGCTAACTTGGTGCCAGTGGCTGGTGGGTGCTCAGTGAGTGGGACCAAATGACAGGAGTTGACCCGAGTGCGCATCTGTGCTGAGAATAGGCTGAAAATGCCAGAGTGGAGAGTGTGGGAGTTCTGAACCTCCCGCCCGTAGTTTATCAGTCTGGGCTCCCAGGGGCGTGGGAGGGTGACAGGGTCATAAACAGGGCTACAGTGGGACCCTCCTCCTTCCTTGCAGTCCATGTGGGAGATGTGGGAACGCTGTGCCCACCGCCTAACCGAGGCCATTCAGTACGTGGTGGAGTTCGCTAAGAGGCTCTCAGGCTTTATGGAGCTCTGCCAGAATGACCAGATTGTGCTTCTCAAAGCAGGTGCCCGGAGACTGGGGGCAGGCCTGGAGGGAGGGGGAGAGAGCATGCAGTGGGGCTGGGCTGAGCAGAGGGAGGTGGCTTAGGGAAAGCAGGACCCTGGAGGGGCACCTAGCCAGCTCCCTGGCTCCGCCTGACTCCTGCCTGCCTGTACCCCCCTCTCCAGGAGCAATGGAAGTGGTGCTGGTCAGGATGTGCCGGGCCTACAACGCTGACAACCACACGGTCTTTTTCGAAGGCAAATACGGTGGCATGGAGCTGTTCCGAGCCTTGGGTGAGGGGCAGGGGGAAATGAGAGAGACCAGAATTGGATAGCAAGTCCATCTAAAGCTTCAAGACCCAGGCTCCCTCTTTTCAGGGCAAATCACCCCCACTGCTCCCAACACCAAGAGGGCGGGTGTCCTCGGGTGCCATGGCCTCATCTACCTTGCTCATCCTTTGGTTTTTCCCTCTCTCAGGCTGCAGTGAGCTCATCAGCTCCATCTTCGACTTCTCCCGCTCCCTGAGCTCCTTGCGCTTTTCTGAGGACGAGATTGCTCTCTACACAGCGCTAGTGCTCATCAATGCCAGTGAGTGTCGCTGGGCTTGCCTGAGGGACATGCAGGTGGCTGGAGCGAGAAGAGGCGGATGCTGAAGGGCCTGGACCTTCAAATGCGGTTAAATCTGGGAAATGGCTTTAAAGAGCAGAGAGTAGATTTTAGAGGAGCCTCAGGGAGGGAAACACCCTCCAAGATGGGCTTGGAGAAGTGGGGAGCCGGGGAGCCGTGAGGAGGTGAAGAAGGGCGCCACTTCCCAGGGGAGAGATTTGTCTGCTCCTGAGCTCTCATGTCAGTCAGTTCAGTGAGGCCACACACTGGAATGACCTGGAGATTTTTAAAAAGTGATTCTTCTCTGGGCTCCACTCCCAGAGACTCTGAGGTCATTGATCTGGGGAATAGCCAGAGCACCAGGATTTTTTATAGCCTCCCGCAGGAGATTGCCATATGCGTGGGGATCACTGCTCTGTGTAAGCTGGGTTGAGGACTGTGCGCTGTCATGGCAGGACTCGGGGGGCCCACCCCCCGGAACAGAGCAGGCTGGGCTGAGCCGGGGAAGGCTAAGTATTTGGAGAACTCGGAGAAGTGGGTCGAGCTACTAACCTGAGTTTATCCATCAAGATTATCTATTGTCTGACTCTGCCAATGGGTAGAGACCTAAACACATCCTTCGAACTAGAGATAAAGACTTAAAAGATGACTTCTGGCCGTTTTATGGAGCCAGGGCAAAAGGTGGTTTGTCTGTTGAAATTAGCCCCAGATGGCTACAGAGGCCCTGGTGCTGGCCTAGGGCTTCAGCAGGGCCACCTGCTGTCAGGCTCATCCTTAGCCAGGAGACAGGGCTCCCTCTCATTTTTTCCCCCCATAGTGGAATCTGAGCATTGAATGGGCTATGTGAAATATCAGGGTACCAGGGAGAAGGCCACTTGGAATCAGGAGATTCAATGTCTTTACTTTTTTTAAGGATTTTATTTGAGAGAGAGAAGGCAAGAGAGAGAGAAGAAGCAGGGGGAGAGGGAGAGGGAGAGAGAGAACCAGGCTCCCCACTGAGCAGGGAGACAGATGCGTGGCCTGATCCCAGGACCTTGGACTATGACCTGAGCCGAAGGCAGATGCTTAACTGACTGAGCCACCCAGGCTCCCCAGGAGACTGGATGTCCTTATCCATTTCATCTCTCCCCAGCTTTCCTTGTAGACAGCTAGCCAAGCCCCAGGCTCCAGAGCTTCTCATGACCAAACCAGGATGCACATGCATGTGCGTACACATTCAGCCGAGAAGGCCACTATCGAGCACAGATGTCCAAACTGATACACCCTTCTGGGGGCCGTTAACGTCCGTGTTCTTTCTTGTTCTCACTATGGTCCCATGCCCTCCTTCAGACCGGCCAGGGCTCCAAGAGAAAAGGAAAGTAGAGCAACTGCAGCACAACCTGGAGCTGGCTTTTCATCACCATCTCTACAAGACTCACCGCCAAGGCATTCTGGCTAAGGTAGGAGCAATCCCTGAAGTGGAGAAGGTCAGGTCCAGTGCAGGAGCAGGGCCCCCAGGACTGGCGAGGGCCAGGCTCTAAGGTTGGGGGTAGGAAGCCCTTAAGTGCCATGTTGTGTTAAGAGAGCTTGCAGCAGCTCGGGAACCAAGGGGATGAGACGTGCATACAGACGGAAGGTTAAGAGAATCTGGAATTGGGAGGGACTGCCAGGAAATAATTTGGCTTAATATAGCCAACACTCACCCAGCACCTGTTTGTGTAAGGCACTGTGGAATGGCAAGATCCCAAGAGGCGGTCCTTGCCCTCACCGAGCGTTTCTGGTCTGGTACAAAGAGGCTCGTGTACCAGTGACTCTAATATAGAGTAGCCTACGGTATGTGATACAATAGTAATGCAATTAACAAGATGCTGCTGTCCCAGACGTGCAGTCATCCTAAAGACAGCTTAGTCAACGGGACAGGTATTAAAATCTCCTTTTAGTGATGAAGAGACTTAAGCAACTAGTCCAAGTTTGCACGATTGGTAAGTAATAAATGTAATATTTAATCCCAGGGCTCTCCTACCATATCCCTGCACCACTCGTAGGTTACTTCAATAAGAGATAGTGGGGGAATGTTATTACAGCATAAAACAGGAATTAAAAATAATTCGGGGTAAAAGGAGTGGGTCATAAACGCTTCCTAGGAAGGTGGCATTTAAGGTTGGCAATGAAGTATGTCAGATTTTAACAGACATTCATGGGGGTAGGGCAAGCATTCCAGGCTGTGGGAACCACTGGCAAAAATAAGGAGGCAAAATAGCACATATATGGGGAATAGCTCATGGTACATTCTAACGTGTAAGATTGAGAGCTAGCATTGATGAGGGCAGGGAAGTAGCAGAAGGCAGTCTTGAAATTAGGTCAGGTAACAAATCAGAGAGGACTTCCAGTGCCATATTAAAGAATGAAGGCTTTATTTCCAGGCAATGGAGAGCTCCGAAGGCTAGAGGAATGATATCATCAGAGCTATTATTTAGGCAATTAAATTTGGAACCCGCGTAGAGGAACCATTTATGTAATCATTCAAGCAATGGGCCCTTGCTATGTGCCAGGCACAGTGAGTGCTAGGTGCTGAGGATAAAGAGATGACTTACACAACATTCTAAGTCCTAAAGAACTTCGAGTCCAGTCGGCCGGATTGGAAGGAGAGACTGGAGCCTGGGAGCACAGCTGGAAAGCACATCTGGTTGGCTCTACCTTCAGAATACAAACCCTCCACCATCACACTTAACCCCCAAGTGTTCTCTTGTGGCCTGTTAGGTCCCCCAGTCCTCGCTCAGCCATCCTGCAGGAGAGCCATTTAGCACAGGTTTCAGTCCTGCTGTAGCCACCCATCCTGCTGAGAGACAACCCGAGAGTCTATCACGGCTCACTGGCCTCATGCACGATATGACCCCGACTTCTTTTCTCACCTCCTCTCCTCCCACCGCCCCCTCAGTCATCTGTTCCAGCAGCACTGGCCTCCTTGCCATTCCTTCAGCATATCACACACACGTGCATCTCAGGGCTTTTGTATCTGCTGTTCCCGCTGCCCGGAAAGTTCTTCCCCAATCTTCCAAATGGCTCCATCTCTTCATTCTGAAGAGGTTTTTCCTGACCACCTGAGGCAAAAAGCCCTCACCTGGCAGTACTGTTTTTTAAGAAATTCTCAAACTTATTATATATTTGTTTTCTGGATCCTTCATTAGAATATGCATTTAATAAAGCTAGATATTTTATTATACTTTATTTTATCCAGTGACATATCACCGTAGCCGATCACAGTGCCTAGTTGAGTAGGTTCTCAACAGTTAGTGATGAACGGATGGCAGATGAAACTACTGTGGCAGTCAGGACAAACTCAGACTAAACCAGCAGAAATGAGAAGACAATGAATCCAAGAGATATCAAGAGATCTATGTGCCTGGTCTTCTCTGACTGCCCCTTTCCTAGGAAACTAAGTGGGGGGGAAAGGGAGCAGCTAGTGAGCGGTCTTTTCAAGCCCAGCTTAGTTATACAGGAAGCTGCAGAGGTTGAATGGTTTTTTCAGCCTTTCTCCAGTGATGTCTCCCTGCCTGTGTCTCCTCATGGGTCTCTGGGCCTCTTTTGTTCCCCTCTGGCTGAGTACTGGTGGTGTTGGGTACCTGCTTGGAAACCATTTATAATTCAGAGAGGTATTGAGCATTTGTCATGTGCCAAGCATTATGACAGGAACAAAGGATACAGAGAGGGAAACGGAGAGAGGGAGACAAGGAGAGACCCTACCTAAGGAAATTAAACCTAGCTAGGGTGGGAAGGCAAACAAATTAGACCATTTTCCTAAAATGGGGTTTAAGTGCTACTACACAGAGGGAAGCCCAAAGGAAAGGCACCTCATCCAGGTTAGGGAAATATTCCCAGAGGAGGGGACACTTGAAAGTGAGGAAGTATTAGCCAAGCAAAGAAGGATTGGAAAGGTATTCCAGGTGAGGAGAACAGCATCAAGGAAGGTCCCAGGGGCATGTGATGGACTATAACAGAGCCGCAGGGCATCACTCTTCTAAGAGCAGAAAGTGCGAATTAGAGTACTCACCAGGGTTCATTTTAGGAATAGCAGGAATGTAATTGGGGGGGGGGGTTCACTCAGAAAACACGCACCTGTCCTGCAGCAGCCCTCATTTGCCTCCGGTTTCCTGAACACATAACCCCCCTGTGATGGACTCTTATCCAGCCCCTCTTCCAGTGCCAAGTGCAGAGGGGGAAAGCAAGGCAGGCTGCCCTAGCCCAGGAAGGAGAGGACATCTTTGCTCTGGGGAGAAGGCCAAAGTACTGACCCTCCTCCCCTGTTAACCCATCTCCAGCTACCACCCAAGGGGAAACTTCGGAGCCTGTGTAGCCAGCATGTGGAAAAGCTGCAGACCTTCCAGCATCTCCACCCCATTGTGGTCCAAGCTGCTTTTCCTCCACTCTACAAGGAACTCTTCAGCACTGAAATTGAGTCACCTGAAGGCCTGTCCGAGTGACCTGGAGGAGGGACTCCTTTCCCTTCCCTACAGCCTACTGGCCTTCCTCCCCGGATCTCATCCCACCTTCACGTATTTCTTACCTGTGCCCCCGGAGGGTGGTCCCTGCCTGTTCTTGAGGGGTGTGCAGTTGCTGAGACTGGTTTTCCCCCACAGGCTTGCCTGGCAGTGGGGCCAAGAGCCAGAGGGTGGCGATGAAGGAACACCATCTCCAGCCTCAGCTTTGTTGCGTCTCCTTTCCCATGACCCTTCACCCCCAGCTTCTGAGAGGCCTTGGGTGGCACATAAGGACCTCTAGAAGGACCATGGTGTCCTCAGGATACTAGGCAGATCCAGGATACCCTGGATGAATAGAACTCACCTCTGGGCTCAGAAGCTAAGAATAGGACTTTAAAATACCTCATTGCATTTCCCCATGGGCTTTGGTGAAATATGTCAAGCTCAGAGACTGATGGCTGAAGCCCAGGAGAACCTGTAGATAACATGAATCCAAATCTTTAGATTTTCTGTTTCCCCCTTCCTCTTAGCTCAGCAAGGAAATGGTTGGGCACCCTGCCCTTTTCCCAGGGTCTTTAAAACAAAAAACAAAAAACAACAACAACAACAAAAAAAAACGGGATATGTGGAAAATACGGATGGAAGGGGGGTAAGGGGCTGGGATAATTTTTTTTATGGCATTTGGGTACAGGGATAGGGTACAATTGGAGGCCAAGAACATCATAGATAGTTAGAACTCAAACCACTTCTGTGCACTTTAGAAATAGACTTCAGGCGTCAGCACAAATCTGAGGAGAGACACACATCCACATACAAGGAAAAACACGCTCACAAACTCAAACTGCAATTCTGTACCTCTGTAGACACATTTAACCTAACATGATTTCTGTCTTCCTCGAGGTCACAGCTCAGAGGTACTTAGTGGCCTCAAGGAAAGAGTCCCAATCCTGAGGGACCCCAGAACATTCTCATGGTTTACCAGTCCACCAACCTTAGAGCTGGGGTGGCTCAAACTCAATCCCAGCCCCAGTTTTCAGCACAAGAAACCCCAAAAGAAGAAGAGATGATTGGATACTGGTCAGTCAGATGCCCACAGACGGACCCCTGGAAGAGTCATCCTTCATTGTGTGGAAAGGAAATAGACGTCATTTCATCCCGACTCCAGCAGGGGGGAGACCAGGGAACAGGACAGACACCTGTGTCTCTGGCTGTGATCATGCCCCAGAACTTCTCTTGGTTTTACAAATCACTGTGAGCCCTCCTCTGAGGGATAAACAGCCAGTGATGTGGGGGTATTGTGTTCCTCTCAGGGGAGGGGTTTAGTCAGCTAAACATAAACCCCAACTTGTGCTATTCTTCATAAAACGACTTTAAAGCCCATAGGTATGTGTGGAAGGGACAGGGGCAGGGGTTCTTAAATCCGATTACAGACAAGCTGCTCTCCTGTCTCATTCCTGTGTGGAGACCCAGGTTTCTAACCCAGCGACCCATGAACATCATGAGGACTGCAGCCCCCACTCTGCACAGCCCTCCAGGGAGGCCTGGGAGCTGCTGCTCAGGAACCCCCACCGAAGAAGTCTCAAACTAAACCCCATGGGAGATGTTCCGGACTGAGAACTTTCCCCACAAAATGCTACCCCTGTGGGACATTAAGACTGAGAGGCTGCACAGACTCTCCCTGCATCTGGGAGACTAAAAGACAACCCTGAGGAGGGTGCTGAGCCTCAGAGCTCCCCATGGGGGAGTCAGGATGTCCACAAGAGACCCTTTCGAGTTGTTGGCTGCCTCTACCTCCTGACCCCTCCTAGACCCCAAAGTCTCCCTGTGCGCTCCCCTCCCCTTCACCTTCCTGTGGTGGCGCTTGCTGCAGCCCTCCCTGGTTGCTTTATTTATTTATTTTGCACCAACAGGGTTGCTGCAGACTCATTCTCGCCTGGTTTAAAAAGAGAGAGAGGAAAAAAAAAAGGAGAAATGCTTTCTGGCTCTTTTCTCTACCTCGGTCTTGGCAGCAGCGGCCACAGCAGCGACAGCAGCCACAGTGGGCAGGCAGGCGGGCGGGCGGGCAGCGGGTGGCAGGCGGTAAGGAGTGAGACACACCCGGAGGTACAGCCAGCCCCCACCCCAGCCCTGGGGTGCAGCTTGAATGGGACGGCCCCCAGCCCCAGACAGATGCAGTGTCCAACTTGATGCCGCCCTCCAGCTTCTCCGGTAAGTGACCCCACCCCCTGTCCCAAGGCTGCAGCTGCCCTTCTCTATAGCATTCTCAGAGACATGGCTAGACCAACATGCCTGTCAGGCTGGAGGGTTTGTGCCCCTCTTGTCCCTCCCCACCAGCTGTCCCCAGCACCCCCTCCTGCCTCCCCTCCTGGCTCTGGCCAGCCATTGATCTTGGCCCCGCTGGACTTCAATGGGAAAACTAAAATGTCCCAGAGGCCCCTGTAGGGAAGGACTCTAAGGAGACCTCCGTCCATCTTCCCAGTGCTTCCTCTACCTCTGGGATGGGTTTTTCCCACATTTCAGTGTGGAAATTCCAGAAATCTTTCCCCCAAGAGCCCTCTCCCCATGCAGGTCCCCACACCTCAGTCAGGTCTGCTTTAAAAGGGATAATCCAGGTTCAGATGTGTTTCTGGACTGCCACATAGACGCAAGAAGAAAGCTTCCTGTTCCCTGAAGAGATGCTGCCCCAGACCCCAACCCATTTAGAGAAAGAAGTGGTTCTGACACCCATTTCTTCCTGCAAAAGTGGCTGGAAGCCAGTCCTGTAGCCATGGAGACTGGCAAGGGAAGTTTGTGATTAAATTAGCCACCTTAAAAATAAAGAAAAGGGGTTGTCCCCAGATCCCCCAGCCCCTGGCCCAGCAGGCTTTGGGGACCAAGAGGAAACTCACAGGAGTAGGAGGAAGGGAAGCTGGGTTACATGCTTCACTGCACTTTTGCTGAATGCACAGCGAAAAGGATGAGCAGGAACTGCAGCGGTTGTGATAAAGAGCTAGCTGTTGGGTGGACTTCCCAGAACAGGCACAGGGACAATGAGGGACACTGGGACACGTCTGTCCCATGCCAGAAATACCTGCTAGGTTGGGCTGGGGACAAGAGGAGACTGAGCAGCAGCCTTGGCCTGCCCCGTGCCCTTCTCTCTCATCCCAAGCCTGGGGATGGTGTCCTGCCTCCCTCTGCCTCTCTGATCTTCAGTTTCCCACTACCACAGCAGGAGCGCTGCCAGAACAGCCCTTCTAAAGGGGGGCTGTGGAGCCTTGTTTCAATCAGGATCCAGGGATGTGATCCCCCCGAATGGGAAGAAGTCCTACCATCTCTTAAACTGCCTCTTCTAAGTTCCACATGGGAGAAAATGGGGCATGTGGGAGAAAACTGACCCTGCAGGGCCCAGACAGCCTGAAGCCCCAAAGGCCATCTGGATCCGCAGCTAGAAAGAAACCCAGGCAGCCTGACATCCAGGGAGCATCCCTTGTCTCTAGTCCCATCTCTTTAGCCCTCACTTGCCAATTCCAATACCTCCCCTCCCTTGTTCAATGCCCTATTGACATTGAACAGGGGAAGCTGAGGGTGAGTTCACCATCTACCAGGCCCCTTCTCCTCTAGCACCTCGATCACTCCCCGGTGGCCATTCTGCCCGCCATCATCATGATTCTGCCAAGGCCCTCGGTTCCCAGAAAACTCACTTGCAGTCCACAGGCTCTGCACACGGCCTCCCCCAGAGATCGCTGTGCCAGCCAAGGGCTTGCACGCTCCCCACCCATAGCACCGGGCCGGGTGCTGTCTCTCACCTGTCTATGCATCCCTGGCTCACAGCCTGTCTCCTGTGTATCACTTGGACAGCTGAGCCCAAAGGGTACAAGAGAGCTTCCTCAGATTAACACCTTGGACTAAATCAAAAACACCATTGAGGAGGAATAGAAGAGAAGCCTGAGACTAAGGACTAAGCAACAACCTCAAAACTTGGGCATCCCTTGGGTCCCTCACATACCCCAGTGTCATCCACTAGGGGATCACCCTTAGGGTTCTTGTGAGGGACTCAAGTGCCCCCTGCAACCTATACCGTAGCTGAGGTGCTGCTTGGCTGTTGTCCACACGGGCATTTTCAGGGAGATTGGATCTTGCTCATTTAGGGCCCCAGGCCAGACTGGAGAAGGGCAGAGGGGCAGTAAGTGCAGCCTGGGGGAGCAGAGGCTTCCCAGGTTTCCCAGCCTTGGAGGACTCAGTCAAGGTGAGGACCTCACTCCAATCTTAATCCAAGGATGTGATTCCCCCTGAGCTAGGGGGGAAAAGCTGGGGCAGATAACACAGAAGAACAAGGGTCAGCAGAGAGTGGGAGGGCAGGGCTTGGGGAGAACAAGTAAGGAGGAGGGAGAAGGGACCAGAGGTATTCCTGGATCTCACAGATACAGGAAAAATCCAATACAGGAAGACTCAGAGTTACTTCCTTGTTTCCTGTCCCAACCACAGGAAACTTTCCCCACTGGAGTCAGGCTCAACTAGGGTTCCATGAGCCAATAAGCACTTGGCCTGGTGTCCAGGGCTAGGGGCAGGAGGAAAATAGAGATTCTCCGAAGAGGAGGCCCAGGAGGCACCTAAGGAAGTGGTCCACCAGTGGTGCTTCCCGGGTCTCCACCCTACTCACTGGCAATGCTGAGACAGATACCTCCATCTCTCTCTCCTCTAAGGAGGCCCAGGGAAGGCCGGGGTCACCATCACCTGAAGTCACTTTCCATAAAGGACCATGTCATCATCTATTCCAGGACTGAAGAGGGTATGGCCATGGCCACAGCTCCAAAGCGAGCCTGGCCCCCTTGGCCCCCTCTCCTGTTCCTGCTCCTTCTGCCCGGAGGGAGCTGCGGCGGGTGCCCTGCTGTCTGTGACTGCGCCTCACAGCCCCGGGCAGTGTTTTGTGCCCATCGGCGACTGGAGGCTGTGCCTGGAGGACTCCCACTGGACATTGAGCTCCTGGACCTGAGTGGGAATCGCCTGTGGGGGCTTCAGCGTGGCATGCTCTCCCGCCTGGGCCTGCTCCGGGAGCTGGACCTCAGCTACAACCAGCTGTCTAGCCTGGAACCCGGAGCCTTCCATGGCCTCCAAAGCCTACTCACCCTGAGGCTGCAGGGCAATCGGCTACGAATCATGGGGCCTGGGAGCTTCTCAGGCCTACCGGCCCTCAGGCTGCTGGACCTCCGCCTCAACCAGATTGTCCTATTCCTTGACGGAGCCTTTGGGGAGCTGGGCAGCCTTCAGCAGCTGGAGGTGGGGGACAACCACCTGGTGTTTGTGGCTCCAGGGGCCTTTGCAGGGCTGGCCAAACTGAGCACCCTCACACTGGAGCGCTGTAACCTCAGCACGGTGCCCGGCCCAGCCCTGGCCCGCCTCCCGACACTGGTGGCTCTCAGGCTTCGAGAACTGGACATCGGGAGGCTGCCAGCCGGGGCACTCCGGGGCCTGGGGCAGCTCAAAGAGCTGGAGATCCACCACTGGCCATCTCTAGAGGCCCTGGAGCCCGGGAGCCTGGCAGGGCTCAATCTTAGCAGCCTGGCCATCACCCGCTGCAATCTGAGCTCCGTGCCCTTCCAAGCACTCCATCACCTGAGCTTCCTGAAGGTCCTGGATCTATCTCAGAACCCCATCTCAGCCATCCCAGCCCGAAGGCTCAGTCCTCTTGTGCGGCTCCAGGAGCTCCGCATGTCTGGCGCATGCCTCACCTCCATCGCCGCCCACGCCTTCCATGGCCTGACCGCCTTCCACCTCCTGGATGTGGCAGATAACGCTCTTCAGACCCTAGAGGAGACAGCCTTCCCTGCTCCAGACAAACTGGTCACCCTGAGGCTGTCCGGCAACCCCCTGACCTGTGACTGTCGCCTCCTCTGGCTGCTACGGCTCCGCCGCCGCCTGGACTTTGGCGCATCGCCCCCAGCCTGTGCAGGACCCCGGCATGTGCAGGGGAAGAGCCTGAGGGAGTTTTCAGACATCCTACCTCCAGGGCACTTTACCTGCCAACCAGCCCTGATCCGAAAGTCCGGGCCGCGATGGGTCATCGCAGAGGAGGGGGGGCATGCCATTTTCTCGTGCTCCGGAGACGGAGACCCAGCTCCGACTGTCTCCTGGATGAGGCCACAGGGGGCTTGGCTGGGAAGGGCTGGGAGAGTGAGGGTCCTAGAGGATGGGACGCTGGAGATCCGCTCAGTGCAGCTACAGGACAGGGGAGCCTACATCTGCGTGGTCAGCAATGTTGCTGGGAATGACTCCCTGAGGACCTGGCTAGAAGTAATCCAAGTGGAACCGCCAAATGGCACCCTCTCTGACCCCAATATCACCATGCCATCTATCCCAGGGCCCTTCTTCCTAGACAGCAGTAGGGTCGCTATGGTGCTGGCAGTGGGCTTCCTTCCCTTCCTCACCTCTGTGACACTCTGCTTTGGCCTCATTGCCCTCTGGAGCAAGGGCAAAGGCCGGGTCAAACATCACATGACCTTTGACTTTGTGGCCCCTCGGCCCTCTGGGGATAAGAACTCTGGGGGTAACCGGGTCACTGCCAAGCTCTTCTGAGCTTTCCTTCCATGGTGGAATTCCAGCCAAGATATCAGAAGGGAAGAAAACCAAGGCTCCTTGGACCAGAAGCTAGTCCCACACTCGCCTGCCTCGTGCCAGCAGCTAAGGATGGTCTGCCTCCCCCTGCTTTTGCAGTTTGAGGGTCCCAGGGAGCAGAAGATACAGATCCACAGTCAGCCCAGCCCTCCCCAACCACCCTTCCCCCAACAAAGCAGGAAACATCCCCAAGGCTCCAGTCTACTTGCTCGCACTTATGCCCTTTAACAATCACTACCAGCTGCCAACCACAGCTATAAGATTATTGCAGAGGTGGGGCTGGGAAGTGCCCCTTGCTTCTCAGTGTTTCTGCTCCTCAACCAGGCAGTCTCCCTCTTTTTTTCTGCTCTGTCCCCTCCCCAGGCACAAGGAACTAGGGCCAAGGACCTCAGGGTAGGAAGATGTGAATATGCGATAGCGGTGTGCAGGGCGGGGTGGGGGGGGTCACACTACACATTGGCGCTATGTCTGCATGAGCCTCCAATACCTGTCCCATCTGTCACATCATTAAACTTGCTGCCAAATGGCCATGACAGTTGCAGCCTAAATGAAGTGTGATATCGGGAGTTTTATTTCACTCTTTTTCCCCCTTCATTGTTAGCAAATCTCTCCCTTCCTACACTTTCTGCCTGCCCACTGAGCATGTATCCCAATGGGCTTGCCTGATATACAGGCTTGACACAGAAGGAGGCCCAGAGATGTTCTGGAGAGACTCCCATCTATTTCAGTTTCAGCCCTTTCCCTGTCCTCTGCATCTGTGCAGCTGGAGAAAGAGAGGTCCTCCACCTTCCAAGATATCTGCTGCAGAAATACCAGCCTAGGACACCCAGCACCTTCACTTCTTTCTCATTCTTATTGGGATCTCCTAATTATGATCTCCCAATCACAGATCCCTAGTGCCCTGGAGGAAAAGTATAAAGGGAACTCCTAGAAAATGCCCAACGAAAGCAAGGATCTGCAGTTGTGCTAGGAGAGAGCCCGTTGTGCTAGAAGAGAGTCCCAGAACCCAGCAGGACCAGGCTTGGAGAAAACAGGCAGGAAGGGGCACCACACACTGTAGTGAAAAGCAGAGGAAAGAGGCAGCAGCAGGTTCTGGCTGCCTAGTTAATTTCCACTACCTTTTTGCAGGTGCCCCTTGTTTTCCTGTTTGGTGCAGCCCCAGTGGGAAGCTGTCTCTGGATAGAGGTCACTACTGAACAGAGACCCCAGGTACAGAGGAGGGGTGGGAGGAGATGCTGACTGCCTTTGCGTGTGCTTCAAAGAGAAAGCAAGGCAGAACCAGAGAAAAGGAGAGATTCTAGAGGCAGCAGCACCAGCATCATCAGAAGGGGAGGAGTGAAGGGAGAGGAGGGGCAGGGAGGAGGGACTGAGAAGCGGGGAGTCATGTGGCCCTAGGGAGCCTCTCTCTGCAGCAGCATCTGCTCAGTGTCCTTAGCTCCCCTCTGCCCTCAAGAGCCCCCAACCACACCACAATATGCAAGCATCATGAGCCTCCTAGCAATTCCTGCTGCTCGCGTCCTTGCTTCGAGGAGACTCCACTAATTAGAAGATTCCCAGCTCAAACTGTCCCTGACCAGAGAGGGGAGCAGGTGCCCTCCAGGAGGCAGCCAGATTTGACAGGCACACAAGCTCTTCAGTAGGGCCCAATGAGGATATGAGAGTGGACCAGAGGTAAGAACCCAGCAGGCTGGGGAGTGAGGCTGGAAAATCCAACAATCTTGAGAAAACGGTAACCCTGACCTTCCAACCTCATCCCCCCAAACCCCAACCCAATTCTCTTACATCCTGGCAACTGCCCCTCTCCAGTTTGTAAGGCACCAGAAAGGTTTCCCTGGCACAGCCCTTTCCCCTCCGAAATCTTTCATGCACAGGTTAGTAGGTTGGGACTTGGGGGTCTAATACTAGAGGTCCTCACTCTAGTTGCCCATTCTGCAATGCAAAAGAGGGCGGAAGCAGCATTGCTATGCAGACAAATCTCTGGAAAGCCCCCAGAGGCAGTGGGGAACAGATGACGTGCCCTAGAGCAGAGGATGCAGCTCCCCGGGTCCCACAGTCTCTACAACAGCACTGCCCAAAGGCAAGAGAATGTGAGTCACCCATGTAATTTCAGATGGTCTCGTATTACGTTGAAAAAGCAAAGAACCCAGAGATACCATAACATTTTGATACTATATTTTATTGAACCCAGGGCACCCAAACTATTATCATTTCAGCATGTTATCAATATGAAAATTAGTAATGAAATAGTTTACATTATTGTTTTCATATTACATGTTTGAAACTCAGTGTCTATTTTACACTTATAGCAAATCTCAATTCAATCACTAAATTTTCCCAGAAAGATGCGCGCTGTTCATAGGTTTCATAAAAGTCATTGTTGAAAAAGGGGTTCCACACATCCACGTTGTTCCAAATATATTAAAAGTTTTCCAATAACTAAATCAAGTATCAGTTTTAATATTTAAATGTAGCCCTCGAGAAGCACATTCAGCCTGGGGAAAATGCCCGTGGAACTACCGCCCACTAACACCCCTTGTTTTCCCTACAGTTTTTCCTAAAGCCCTTTGATGTGGCAAGGTCACTGTGATAAGCACTTCCACAGCTTGTCCAATCACCAGCAAGCCAGTTCCTTATCTTACCTGCCTGGGGAGGCTGCCCTCAGTCCAGGTGTGACTGTACAGGCTGTGTGTGTGTGTGTGTGTGTGTGTGTGTGAGTGTGTGTGTGAAGAAGCATGTAAATGCAACCAGGGACGCGTGCTAGTGGTGTGCATGTATGTGCGGGGATGTTACTAAGGACCACATAGTCGGGGCAACCCAACAGAGGCTCTCCGCAGGGTCAGATTGAGAAACTTGCTCAAGGACACACACTAGTTAGTGAGGCAGCTGTTTTTTAACTCGGGGTTGTTGGGAATCAAAACCCAAATGCTTCCCACCAAGTATGCTGCTTTAGTCATTGCCTGCTCCTTTGACCCCTCCCCAGGGCCTCTCCATGGAAGGGTCTGACCTGGCTCCTCTTCCACCCCACCACTCAGAACAAGTCCCTTAGGGGGACACAGCCAGCTGTTGGTCCTCCCCTGCCTTCAGAAACTAAGGCGCCTGACTCAAGAAGCTGGGGGTTATTTGGTTGGTTGTTACACTTTCTTCTCAGTTACCTCTCCAAATGTCCTTGCTGCCTCTGTTCCGGGGACTGGCAGAAAGGGGCAGAAATTCCACGGATCAAATGGTCTGAACTGAAATCCTGGATGCCAGCAACAGAGCCTCTCACAATTTGGAGTCTTCAGACTTCCTCCTTTTCTGGGTTCGAATGTCAAAAACCTCTTTGGTTATAGAGAGGCTGCTCGGTAATTTCTAGTATGGTAGAACAACCAGAAGGCCTACCTTCTGCCTATCCCTGCTTGACAGAACCTTCCTGAGATTACCCCATCCTCCCACTCTCCTCTCTTCCATTTCAGACATGGTCTCACCTAAGCTGAGAGAAACTTGGGCCCCTAAATACTCGGGCAGCATTTGGGCACTCCCCATTTTGGTCCCTGACAGATTCCAATTTCTCTATTTCCTATGCTATGCTGGATCCCGGATTCAAGGATGAAAGCCCTGCAAGGCAATGATCCACAGCTTTTTTGGAGTCACAGACCCCTCTGAGAATGCCTGGAGTGAGCTATGAACAAAAATGCTTATAGATTGTCCTCAGTCACCCTGAAACCATCACAGGCTCCATGGAAGGCAGGTGAAGAAGCTCTGCCATCAGAAGCAGGGGCGGGGAAGGCTGAGGACAAGCCTGTACTCTCTGGGGTCCATCATAGGCAAGGAGAAAAGGCTGGGAAGGACTATGGCACAGAATGGATGTTAGCACAGGTCAGGGCAGCTTCTCCCCTCCTTTGTTCCCCTCCTCCCACCAGCTTCCATCTCTCAGTGGGAGGCAAGAGAGTTCAGGGTGGGGAGGGAATTTTGCCCAAAGAAGAGAGTGTGGTGGTGATTCAGGATGGAGAGCATTTGATATCAGGGACTCCTGAGTCCTCTTCCTCCAAATTGCTCTGTAAGGAGAATTAAGTAGGAAGACATAGAGCTGAGTGGTGGAGACCAGAGAAGTAGAGGACACCTGCCACAATCCATCCATCTGCTCTAAAGACTAAAGAGCAGCACAGCATAATTGGGAATACTTAGGCCTGCCCTCTGGGTTGCTGGTTTCGGATGCAGAGCCTTGAGTCATGGGGGAGGATAGGGTAACTCCTACAACAGACAAAGGGAGAAATGAATGCTGTTTTCTAAAAACCCAGATGGCTGAATATTGTATCCTGGATTATTTGCCTGTTGTCCAAGAGGGGAACTCTGTAAGCAGGAAAGGCTCTGGAATCAGGCTACTGCCTTTGAGAACCTCTCACTGCCCAGCCTTCTAGTTAAAGTCCACTTTCCTGCTTAGCTTATTGAATGGAAACACCTGCTCACTGAATGCTCTGGAAAACCCAGACCTTACTTTAATTGGTATCACCTACTCCTGCACCCTTCAAGGGAATACCCTTGAAGGGAAGAGGACAGACTCTTCAAAACTGAAGATAAGGACACAGAAATTGCAATTCATTCAATCCCAGCCTCATAACCCAATCTTTCAATCCTGACTCGGGCTCTTGGAGGAGTGCGTGAGATGACAAATCCCAAAAAGGATTTGAGAGTTTGGAATCCTCTCACCTAAACCTATCCCTTCTACTGCCAACCTCTCTGTTCAGCCAATTAAAAGTTAATTAGAAGTCAACACTCATTCAAAAAATTTCTGTGAAAACGGATTACACCTGGTTTTCTGCTGTTCTGATTAAGAAATTCCTCCTGTGGTTAATTTGTAATCCTCGTTTTTGGACTTCCACTTCATATCCTTTTTGCCTACGAACTAGAAGATAATGGGTCCACAAAGCAGGCCTGTACTTTTTATAGCAACAATGGTTATTCTTGCTTAGGTCTGAACTACTGGTTTACCTTTTAAAAAGTAAACGTGGCTACTGCAATCAAGGCAGTCAAATACTGAGGAATAATCTTAACAAGAAATATGTAAAGTCTATAGGACAAATACTTTAAAATGCTGCTGACAGAACACCAATGGCTTAGACGGGTATGTAGGAAGATTCTGTATGACAAATACAATTCTCCCTTGGGTAAACTAACAATATGTGGTTCCAATCAAAATAAAATTAACAGTATAATCACAAAGTATCTTGGGGTATATTCTCACAATATACTACACAGTAATTAGAATGAATGGACTAAAACTACACACAACAATATAGCTGAATCTCACAAAAATAATGCCAAACAAAAAAATCTAGACACAAATAAGTACATACTGTTTGATTCTCTTCATACAAAAAACAAAAAGAGGCAAAAACTAGTTTGTGCTATTAGAAATCAAAAGAGCCTTTTACTCTTGAGGGGAGTAGTGCCTGAGAAGGAACACAAGGGTGGCTTTGAGTGGTAATGTTCTGTTTCTTGATCTGGTGTTGGTTACATAAATGTGTTACATTTTTTAAAATTCATCAAGATGTATTCTTTTCAGGGTGCCTGGGTGGCTCAGCTTTCAACAGTCTGCCTTCGGCTCAGGTCATGATCCCAGCATCCTGGGATCGAGCCCCATATTGGGCTCCTCCTTCTCCAGCTCCCCCATGCTGGTGTTCCCTCTCACTATCTCTCTCTGCCATAAATAAAAATCTTTAAAAAAATGTGTTCTTTTCATCTGTGCACTTTTCTATATGTATATTATACATCAATTTTTAAAATTTTGATGAGAAAATACATAATGTACATTAATTTTAAAAAACCAGTATGGTACTAGAATTGAAAAGAGATCAATAGAACACAAAAAATCCAGAAACAGACTTGAATACATATGGCAATTTGGGTCTTATAAAGGTAGAATCCAAAAAAAAAAAAAAAAAAAAGGGAGGAAATACGGGTTCATTCAATAAGTAAAGACAAATAAAACAAAACTAAGTCGGTTATCTATCTCACACTTTTACACCAAAATAAATTCCAGGAGAATATTTACATACAAAAAAAGACACGATTAAAGTATTTTTAAAAAACACTGGAGAATTTCTTAATAATCTTGGTAGAAGGCTTTTCTAAAATATTATAGGAAACCCAGAAGTTATTTAAAAATAGTGATAAATTCAAATACATAAAAATAAAAATATTTGCCTAGCAAAAATACCACCATAAGCAAAGTAAAAAGACATAGGACAAACTGAGAAAAGGGAAAACTATTTTTAACTTATATATGAACAAAGAGCAAATAAGACCAATATAAATATGAAAAAAGCATATGAACAATTTATAAAAAAAATACAACTGCCACTTAAATGTGCTAAAAGATGCCCAACCTGACTTAAAAGAAATGAAAATTGGGGGCTCCTGGGTAGCTCAGTCAGTTGAGTGTCCTACTCTTGATTTCAGCTTAAGTCATGATCTCAGGGTCCCAAGATGGAGCCCCACTGGGGCTCTACTCTCAGGGAGATGTCTGCTTGAGATTTTCTCTCTCTCCCTCTGTCCCTCCCCCCTTTGCTCTCTCTCACACTCTCTCTAAAATAAATCTTTAAAGAAAATAAGAAATGGAAATTAAGAGTACAATAAGAAACCATTTACATTATGAGACTGTCAAAAATTAGAAAGCATAAGTATGTTACCAAACGGGTCCTTTTCATACACTGTTGATGGGAGAGAGAATTTAAAGCTTCAGTGGAAGGCAATTTGGCAATACATACTTTCTTTACCAAATTTTTTTCAAATTTCATTGCTGATGGAATGAAAATGAGAAAGGTCTTTGGGAATTTGCAAAATTATATCTATCCAAATGAAAAACAATGCACACACTTCTTTGACCTAGTATTCTGCTGTCCTAAGGATTTATTATACAGATAAATATCAGCCAGATGAAATCTACTTGGGTATCAATATAATGTGAAAGGACTGGTTAAGTATATCTTAATACATCCCTCAGTCTTACTGTGAAACTTACTATGAAGCACGTACATATGCTGTGCTGGTAAGCTATCTAGGCTATATAATGGCAAGAACAGTACAGATAAATAAATTATCGACTGAGAAAAAAATATATATATATGAATATATGTGCATGTTTACTAAAGAATATCTTGTGGGGGCGCCTAGGTGGCTCAGGGGGTTCAAGCCTCTGCCTTCCACTCACAGGTCATGGTCCCAGGGTCCTGGGATAGAGCCCCGCATTGGGCTCCCTGCTTGGGAGCCTGCTTCCCCCCCCACCACCTCGCCTGCCTCTCTGCCTACTTGTGATCTCTCTCTGTCAAATAAATAAATAAAATCTTAAAAAAAAGAGAGAGCATCTTGTGAAAAAAAATTACAAGAATGTAGTAAAACTGGTTGCCTCCTGAGGGAAGGGAGACCTTATTCACCATAATAACCTTTAAAGTCTATGAATTTTGTAGAATGTGTATGTATTACTTACTCAAAATGTACATCTTAAAAATTAATACGAAGCGAAAACCTGAGGCCCAAAGGCATCGCTCTAGTTGACCAAAGATACCATCTGGCGTTCCTTCAACACGCACGGAGTGCTCATCGTGAGCCAGAGCGACAGAAGATAGTGCCAAAGACCTCCACGTTACGAGGAGCGCCCAGCCCCGCGTCCCTGGGTGAGCCGGGGGGAGTGCGGGGTCCGGCTCGCGAGGCTCCCAACCCGCCCGACGGCGGTAGCAGGGCCCAACTGTCCTTAACGGTCCACGGTCCGGAACGGCGCCTGGAATGCCCTCTCCCCAAGGAAACCGCCGCCTGGGAAAGCCCACCCCCTTTGCCGCGCTGCACGGAACGGGGCCCCCAGCTGTGCCTTTGCTCCGGTCGTCAACACGCTCCCCTCGATCCCTAGGTAAAGGCGAGCCCCTGACGCCCGCACTACCCGTAGCTCCCTTACCACGGGGCGCTCCAACTCGGGTCCCTCTCCATCTCCTCAGCTGCCGTGGCCGTCTTCATTTTCTGTTCACTCCGAGCATCTCTTTCCCCTCAACCTCTCCATCTCTACCGAGCCTGTTTTATGTTTAAAAAAAAAAAAAAAAAAAAAAAAAATTGTTTTCCATGCCTCCTGAGTCCCTGCCACAGTATTAGGACCAATCAAGGCAAAAGATCACAGAGGAAAAGTGGCGGAGCATCGCCATCGCCGGTCAGGAGGCTGCTCTCCCCACGGTAACTGGGGTGTCAGTGACACTAGCTTTGTACAAAGGCACTAATTTTTTGCGAACGGTGACAAGCATGAGTGATTCCACGCCCTCGCACCTTGGTCCCAGACTCAGGAGCGCTGATTTTTTCCCCCAGATTAGGGAACGTTGAAGCTTCCTCGGTAATTGGACTAGAGGTGGGCGGGCAGGACTCCGCGAAGCCTCTAATTGGTTGTTTAATTCTCAGCAGGTGCAGTCTCAATTAACAACGTCTGATTTCCCTGGCTCCTATTGGGTGACGTGGTGGCGGGCTTTGAATTCCATCCGGGTAATTGGGTATCAGCACGCAGCAGCCCCGTCGCTCAGGGGCAGCCCGCGGAAGGATTGGTTGTGGCGAGACAGGCGATTGGTCGGACTGCGAGCCGGGCGTTGATTGGTGCAGGCGGGCTGCGGGGGCGGGGAAGAGGCGGCTGAAGCGAGGCAGGCGGGGCTCGAGTTGCTGTGCGAAAGGGAGGAGGTGACGGCCGCTGGGGTGAGGTGCGAGGCGGAGCGCGCGACGGCTCACTGGAGGAGCGGTAAAGGCTGGGACCGGACGCGGAAACTTAGGGGGTGCGAGAGGCCGGGCCGGGGGCAACAAGCAGGCGGGACTATGGGGCTGAGAGAAGGGAGGCGTCCGGAGGGTATGGGGCAGCCGAACGGCGGGCTACCAACCGAATCCGGAGGACATGCTCTGGTCCCGGAGTGTTTGCCCCAAGCTACTTTGGACTCCTCGAGAGATCTTTTTTGAGACTGAGAACCGCCATCAGTTTGCCTTTTATTTTCTCCAGCAAATTTTTCTTTAATTATTCTAATAGGATGACTACAGTCAGTCGTCTGAATAGTAAATTGGAGTTTTTGTTTTCCCAGTTTCCCTCCTTGAGGTTTTGTCTGAAGATTCCCCGTCAAAGCTACGTTTTTATTCTATTCTCACTCTGAACGGGTTGACTTTCTTCACTCATTGGTTAAAAATAAATGTAGCAAGGGTGAGAAAATTGAACAAGCTGCTTCAATTCAACAGGCCTGTCACTATGTTTTAGCTACTTTGTAGGTTCTGGTTATTTGGAGATAAGGGAGTGAGAGATTTCTTGCCGCATGGAGCTTACGATGATTTGACTCCTAACGATGTTTTTGAAATAACATAGTAAGCCTTATTTATGCATATCAAATAGCAACTGTTTCATATAAATATCAAGAAATTTCAAAATTGGTTTTTACTGAAAACCATTATCTGCTTCTCTCACCTTGAAATGATCCACGTGTCTCCTCTTTACTCAGTTTCCCCTAGAATGATGGTCTTAAATGCCAACCTCTTTTTCACATTCAATTTGAATTAATAAAATTAAATACAAGTTGGCATTCAGTACTATACAGTTATATCCCTGTTGCTATATTTCCCACTTATTTTAAAAGAGAAACCATATGAAATGATATGCATATTATAGTAAAATCATACTTGATTAATCAAGTAGATATGCATTCTTTGAGACCTAAGGTAGCTCCACAAACTTCATTTGTAATATGTGAAAAGGAGTTAAGTGAAATTTAGCTTTCAATTCAAATAGAATATTTGAATAAATAATAAATTTATCCTCGTCGTGGACATTCACCTTCCCACCACATTTCGTCCACCACCAAATCATTAATATTGTGTCTCAGACTCCCATCTACTGCATGTTCAAATGAGAAATCTGATAGCTAGCTCTTTGGCTCACCCTTGAACCTTCCCATGAATCAATTGTTAGATCTTGTGTGTATTCTACCTACTAAAACTCTCCTCTCCATCTCCGTCATTGGCACCTGAACTATCCTCTGAATTTGTCTTCCTACCCCACACTTGCTACCTTCCATTCTTCTCAGTACAGACCCAGCCATTAGTAAAGAATTACAAGCAATGCTATGTGTTATGAAGGGATATTTGGAGTACTATGGAAGCCCATAGTGATGAAACCCAACCAAGCATGAGAAGTTGGGATTGGGGGGAGCGGGCATTGGCAGCAGAGCAGGAGGAATATCCGATATTTTTTTGCCTTGATCCTTACAGTTTCTGAACTGGAGTGAAAATTCTGTTAGTTTTTTTTCTCCTTAAAGAGGTGCCTTTGTGACTGGTCTTCAAACCACACTGCATACCGCATTGTATGGAAATGACTAATTAGCTGTGTAACCTTAGGGAAATCCCTATATTTCCCTGTGCTTCAGTTTCCCCAGTTGGAACATTATTAGTGGAATCAGATCATTTCTTTGGTCCTCCCAATTCTAAAATTCTGTGGTTTCTTAGGCATGAATTGTGGCCAGAAATGTGGTGTTAAAAGGCAGACAGCATTAGAGCATGGATTCAGTTACCACTCTTGTTCACAGACCTAGATTTGTTTCCCAAAACCTTTAACACCTACAGACTCTTGCCTGTCGAGATAAGACCTTCCTTGCCAGTTAGGAGGCCCCATGAAGGCAGCTACTAAGTCTGTCTGGACTGCTGTATCCTCTAGGGCCCATCACATAATGGGTACTAAATATTTATTGGTTTGGGTGCAGAAAAATTATTTTTATTTTAAAGAGTTTTCAACTCTGCCATCTAAAAAATCTTTTAAGTTCTAGCTCCCCCCAGCTGTTGCTTTTTTTGTTTTTTGGTTTTTTTTTTTTTAATTTTATTTATTTGACAGAGAAAGCAAGCGCAACAAGCAGAGGGAACAGCAGAAAGGGGAAAGCAGCCCCCTGCCTCCACTGAGCAGGAATCCCCAGTGTGGGGCTAAATCCCAGGACCCTGGGATCAAGACCTGAGTGGAAGGCAGACACCTAACCAACTGAGCCACCCAGGTGTCTCCAGCTGTTGCTTTAACCAAGAATTTATAATGTCTTTGCATTGTCTGTAGCTAGTTGTTTTGGTGTTTTATCTTTCCTCCTAGATTGTATTTCAGGGTGAGAATTCTTATTCCTCCTTGTGTCCCCAGCATATTCAGCCCATAACAAAGAGCACTATTTAAATGAGGCACTATAATAGTGAAGATGAGCTTTGGACTTTAGAGACCATACAAAAAAATACATGAAGTAACCACTAGATAAAAGAAGTGAACTCTCTTCTGAATACCCAGAATAAAAAATAAGAAAAAAGTGGTTTGAGGTTCAAAAATTCAAGACTTTAAGCAAAAGTCTTTATGGGACAGAGCTTATTTCCTTTCCTTTGCTATATGCAAACATGATACCACCCAAACTTTCACAGAGATCAGTGAAAGATTTTATTTACAGCCTAGAAAAAAGAGAAACTGATTTTTTTTTTTTTTTATCCAGTTAGGAAAGGAACCTCATAACTCAAATGCACATTAAACTCAAGCCTTTTCTTCCTACCTACTAAAAAAGAAAAAAAAAGCAGCCACATTTCTCCATGTCTATACTAAATCTCCAAAAGTGATATACTGTATATATTGGATCTTCTTACTAAATAACGAATTGTCTGAAATAAGAAACTTGAAAAGCGTCCCTCACCCAGGTAATAAAAGGTTTTTCTCTTTTGTGCCTGAGTGGGCAAGACAGTGAATGAAATTTGTTTAAAATTATCATCTAAAAACACAAGTTTTAAAAATATAGGCAAACTTCTGGTGGCTCGCTAAAGAACTTTATTCATTTCTGCTGGTCAGTAAAGCTCTAGAGGCCAGATGCAAAATTTAGTCCTCTGTCTGAATATAGTAAAAAATCCACCTGCAGTCTTACCATGATTTTTATCTGCTTCTTGGAATTAGGTTTTTTTTGGTTTGTTTTTTTTTTTTTTTTTTTTTTTTTAACTAAGATTTTATTTATTAGAGAGCGTGGGGGACAGGGGCCGGGAAGGAGCAGAAGGAGAGGGAGACTCAGGGCTCAATCCCAGTACCTCTCTGAGATCATGACCTGAGCTGAAGGCAGACACTTAGCCAACTGAGCCTCCAAAGTGTCCCTGGAATGAGTTATCTGTCCTAGGTCTCCTCTTTTCCTTCATCACCCTTCCTGAAAGGCTTTTAGGGAAAGCACTTTTTTTCTTTCTTTCCGCCTCAGGAAAAGCATTTAGAATCAAAGTTTTATTCCTGAATAGGTCCTATATTAATGAGTATGTTTTTAGCCTTCCTAGGACCAGTTTTTTTTAAAGGTTAAAAAAAAATGTTTTTCTTGGATATCAAATCATCTGGGTAAATTTTTGTACCTGGAGGCAAATCATAGCATAAATTATATTTCCTCATTCATTTTAAAGCAAATTTTGTTAAAAGCCATATTGTTTTATTCTACTAGATTGTACTATCTGAAAGTAGGCACTGTCTTTATTTTTTTTTTTTTTACCAGCTACAGTGTTTTCCACTAGTGTTAATTTTGAATTTCCTAAATAAAGACACCAAGTACTGTTCTGCTCAGTTTATGTAAAAGAAAGGAGGGAGGGGCTCCTAAAGTCACTTTGTAAGGTTTCTAATATCCAAATAATAACCCAGACTCTGGGTAAGAGGTAACCTCTCTAATAAGGTATATTCCTCTATAAAATTGGGATTAACATTTCTTACCTTACAGGATTACATGAAGATCAACTAAAATAGTGGAGGTAAAGTGCCTGTTAGCAGAGTAGCTACTCAGTACATTTATCTTTTCATCCTTAATGTCACAATAACACGTAGCACCTAGAAGTGTTGAATAGATGTGGTTGACCTAGCCTGCTTGAAGCCACTCTCCGGGACACAGGCATAACAGATACACAGTTGCATACAGTGTGAGCGGTACTATCATGGAAGTCTCATTCATAGGGCAGCAGGAGCTAAGGAGTAACTCACCCTAAGTCAGCCAGGGGAAATCACACTGGCCTCAGCAGAAGTGTAGCAATAGAG